GGTCACTTCCAAAGGAAAAGAGAAAGAAGGTGAGATTTGCCCTACCAGATATGAGGATTTATTATGAAGCTTACAGTGCTTTTAGAAAGCATAGAAGAACAACCACATTGTTCAGTGGAATAAAATACAGAGTCCAAGGGCAGAACCATACGTGTTTGGTATTTCAATATATGAAAGAGATGGCATGTTAGATCATTGGGGAATGAAGGCACTGTTCAATAAATGGAACAGGAAAGAAATAATTATCCATATGGAAAAAGATGAAGGTAGGACCCTACATCACTAAGTATAAAAATCAATGCAGCTAGATTAAGGACTTTAAGAGAAGATCTCTTTTAGACCTGGGGTGGGGAAGCATTTTTAAAGAAAACAATAAAAAGCCAAAAAATAAAATAAAATACTGATAAATTTGCCTAGGTTAAAAATAAGAACTTTTGTTCATCAAATGACACCTTAAAATGAGTAAAAAGACAAGTTCCAAGCTGGGATAAGATCTTGGAATACACACAACTGATAAAGAGTTATTATTGAGAATATTTAAAGAATATCTATAAACCCAAAAGGAAAATGGGAAAATGACACAAACAGGCATTTGTCAGAAGAAATACATATGGTTCCATACATACATAAAATGATGTTTATTATCATTGGAATTAGAAATCAAGAACATACTGAAATACCATCTCATACCGATTTGATAGACAAAAGTTCAAAGTTGTAATAATACTAAGCATTTGAGAGGATGTAGATCTACAGGACCTCTTAAATATTGCTGATTCTACTGTAAATTGGTACAGACACTTTGGAAAACAATCTGGCATTATCTTGGAAAGTTGAGCATGCATATACTTTATGACCTGGGCACCATGGAGAAAATCTTTCCCATGTACTAGAAGATGTCTTCATGGATGTAGCATCATTCATGTAGCACTTTCTGTTCCAATAAACTGCCACACTCACTGTACCCTAAGCAACCTGATGTTGTTATCTTTTTGATTCTCCCATCTTGTCACTCCCCCACCTTCATGATAACCTGAGATTCTTCCCTTCTCCCCTTACCCAGTTTTTCTCCATTTTTCTAGACATTATGCAAGGTTCTTGAACTGATTATGTAGAATTGGGTACATATACATAAAAGAGGCAGGTTTTCATGAAATTTTCCCTCTAAATAAAAGACCTTTTGAAGGTGACATCATAGTTTCCTTCTGCCTCTGCGCTCCTATCCTTTACTGATTTGGCCCTTGTACAAAATACCTTCTTTCTTTCTTTCTTTTTTTTTTTTTTTGAGCCACTACTGGATTCTAAGGAAGTTAAATTTAATCATAAAAACTGCTCTTTAATTATAGGTTTAGACTTGGTTCTTTTGGTTGTATGGTAAATTAGATCCTTGAAGAAGTTCCTCCTAATTGATTACAGGTTAAATCTTTCATCTATCCTACTATCGATTCCACAAAGGCAAATGGACATACCACCTAGGAAGTTTACTGATTTGCCCATTTCTAGTTGTTTTACTACAAACAACTAAACTTATGCCCTGAGTATTTAAAATTAATGATAACATTCACCATGTTGACAGAACATCAGAGATCATTATTTGAATACTAGAAATGAATCAATGAACACATCAACAGATAAAACAAGTGATTTTTTGAAAATTTAACCCATTTTAGGCCAGGCATGGTGGCTCATACCTGTAATCCTAACACTCTGGGAGGCTGAGGCAGGAGGATCGTTTGAGCTCAGTAGTTCAGACCAGCCTGAGCAAGAGCAAGACCCCGTCTCGCCAAAAATAGAAAAAGTTAGCCAGGCATGGTGGCACATGCCTGAAGTCCCAGCTACTCAGGAGGCTGAGGCAGAAGGATTGCTTGAGCCCAGGAGTTTGAGGTTGCTGTGAGCTAGGCTGACACCACAGCACTCTAGCCAGGGTAACAGAGTAAGACATTGTCTTAAAAATAAAATAAAATAAAAAAGAGGAAAAGAAAATTTAACCCATTTCAAAAACAGCTTCTATATGTCAGCTTTTAAATAGACCACTCTGTATTAAGAAAGGATTAATGTGGATATGCTTTGAATATAATTATGAGAAATTAAGCCAAAAATAAAATTATCTCCAGGCATCGCCGAATGGAGGCTGTGCGACTGCGAAAAGAGAACCAGATCTATAGTGCTGATGAGAAGAGAGCTCTTGCATCCTTTAACCAAGAAGAGAGACGAAAGAGGGAGAACAAGATTCTGGCCAGTTTTCGAGAGATGGTATACAGAAAGACCAAAGGGAAAGATGACAAATAAAAATTTTCTGATTATTCAACAGACATTTTTAACAACAAAAAAGAAAGTCTGGATTCCACACATAAACACAAAAAGAGTATGCTCTGAAAAAGCTTTACAGTGCTACTGTGCCTTCTATTTAATTCTTTCAGTCCTTCAATAAAAAGCTGCTTATTGATATAACTCTAGCAAGTTCTTTGGGTTATTTTGGATTGACCATAATAACTTTCCGGTTTAAAAATCCAAATTATGAATGAAATTCTATAGTGGAAGAGGTGGCATGGAGAGAAAGTGTCAGTGAGATAAGGAACTTAAATCTGATGCCATGGGACAGTGTTCCCATTAACTCTACAGGAAGCCCATCCCACCTTCACCTCTACTGCAACTGAACTTATGGGAAATTATCATTCCTCTGTGTTGAATGTGTTATAAATTGACTCGATAGAAACATATAGGAGGCCACTTTTGTTAACAAAATGAAGGCATTGCTGAAAAAAACAAATCTGGAATTTGAAAACTGACTTGTATAATACAATATATAGTCTACCCTGGAAATGATGTATTTTGGTTTAAATCCCTACCTCGACTCCAAAACCAACAAACAAAACAAAAAGCAAACTAATCCACAGACTTGTTGAATTAAAAATATGAACATTAAGTTTTTTTAATTATTGGTAGGTTACTTAAACATGGTTCATTCAAATATGAAGTCTTGGGGAGTCTACTGTTGGGCCAACGTAAGTACATTTTTCAATCTAAGCTGTACTTTGATGATAGGATAACATCTAAAAAGAATGGGAGGCCAGGGGCAATGGCTCATGCCTGTAATCCTAGCACTCTGGGAGGTCTAGGCGGGTGGATTGCTTGAGGTCAGGAGTTCGAAACCAGCCTGAGCAAGAGCAAGACCCCATCCCTACTATAAATAGAAATAAAGTAATTGGCCAACTAATATATATAGAAAAAATTAGCCGGGCATGGTGGCGCATACCTGTAGTCCCAGCTACTCTGGAGGCTGAGGCAGGATTGCTTGAGCCCAGGAGTTTGAGGTTGCTGTGAGCTAGGCTGACGCCATGGCACTCACTCTAGCCTGGGCAACAGAGTGAGACTCTGTCTCAAAAAAAATAAAATAAAAAGAATGGGAGTCAACTATGGTCAAGAGTTCTGATAGGAAAAATGTAATGAATCAGTATTTTAACTTAGTTGTTTCATAAGGATGAAGCTAAAATGATACTAAACATGTTTTAACTCTGTCCTTTGTGTAATAAGCAGATTTCATTTTTAAACATTTATACCTTTCAGTTTATTTTTTTAACCTGTCATTCAGTTTAATCCTTAATGTTGTATAGAAGTCCCTCACTTTATCACTTTTTTATGCTATTTGGAAGAAATGGAAAATTGTGGGATTATGAAATGATGATCTTCTTCACTTTGCTCAATTTTAGTTAGGTCACAAGAATGAAAGGGGAGGGGACAGTGGAAGTTTTGGCTTCTTCTGGTAAGGTTATTTTGATCTGTATTATTATCACATGTCTAGGATAAATTGAAATTACCTGGTTGATGGGGAAATTCTGACTATGCTGTTATAAAATGCCCTCTTATCTTAAAGTGGTTATTTTTCAAAAGTTTTAAAGCAGTCATAGTTCAAAGTATAGAGCAAAATTTTTACGATTTAACATATGTTCTAGGAAAATGTCTACTTTTAACCCACACCTACTGAACTAAGCAGTCAGCATGTAGCAACATTTATGGCTCCTGAATTTGAAATGATTTCTATTTATTTACATCTCATCATAGTTGCTGCCTAGCCTAATAAATCTGTAGATTCCTTAAATTAAAAGGAAACTAGCTTCCAAACTTGTGAATCTTAATCCATCTGCTTTCCTGTATAATAAAATTTTATAATTTTATAATCCCACTTAAAAATTTTATTCTCCATGGGCATTATTTTTTTGTTACTGGTTCCTAGAGACTGAATGTGAGTATGTTCTCTTATTTTCAGTAGGCAAGGTAGTTTAAATGCAGCATTTTTGTGATATATGAATATTATGAATTTGCATTTGATTCTCCTGTCTCTATAGAGTAGATACTCAACAAATGTTTGTTAAGTAAATGAAATAGAAGATGTTAATTTATTTCAGAACCTTACTATTTCTTTCATCGGGGTTTGTTCAGGAAAGGTCTGCCAAAAAATAGCTTCAGTAGCATTTTCTTTGGGAAAGAGAAGAAAAGGGCTAAAAGTATTTTTTTATTTTCAGCTCATGAGTGTTAACTGCTTCAAACAGTGTTTAGTCACCTGAGCCATGAGTCAAATTGTAGGGGTGTTGTATTTTAAATATATTTTTTGTTCTCTGAGGAGACTTACCTAGTTTCCCACCTCTTTACCTGTTGCTCTAATAGGATTTTCCTTCCTTTTTATTTATTGCGCAAATGTAATAGTAAAAAAAAAAGAAGAAAGAAAAATTCACAGTACCACATCAATTGTCTTTAGTATGCTGTGTTCCTTTCCAGTGCTTACCTATGTAAATACATATTCTGATGTACTTGTAAGTAATCACTCAGAGTGAAATGTAATTTTTGTCTTTGGTGTCTTAAAATTTTGCAGCCAGGCAAGAGAGCTTTACAGAGAAGGTAGGAACAAGTGATGATCTAGCATGAGGATGGGAAGAAGACCAGAAATAAGTAAGGATAGTGATTGAACCCATCCCTGTTTTCATTGCCTCAGTTCTCAAGCCACCCTGCTGCTATCATGAGTGTGATGATGTGTTATGGAAGGCAGCATGCCAGTTTCAGAGTTTCAAAATGTATTGTTTAGCAGTGAAGCTTAACTCACAGTAAATGAAGGGGTCTGTGAGTAGTAAAACCCTTTAGACTGCTTATATTATGATCTGTAGAACTGTCGCCATTTTGTTGTTCCCCAATTGTGCCCATAAAGAGAGGTGTGTCTGGCTAGAGACTTAGGCTCAGATGGGGGCACAAGCAGCCAAGTACCAGTCTTAGTTTGGTTTGACAAGTGAATTTTAGCAATTCTCTAAATTCAGCTCTATACCTGTAAGACCCTGAAATGATGCATATAGTGATGGGAAAAATCTTTTAGAAAATAGAAAACAACATACTGGTTACTTTGCTAATGTGATAGAATTTGCAGAATGGAAAATGAATGCAAAAAAATACAACTGGATTGTGTGCCACAAGTTTATTATTCAATAAATATTCTGTGGTTTGATGTGCAGTATTGTATTTTTATATATTCTAATTAGAACAACAAACCTAAAACATTCTGTAAAAATCAGACAATATTGAGTGATAATTTGATTGACTCTATTAAAATATTTTTGGCATCAATAATGTCCCTTGGCCATTTTTCTCGAAAGCGAATCATTCCTGGTCTATGGAAGAAGAAAAAAAAACACCAAAAGCTTTTCAAATCAAACAAAACATTGAGCCAGGGATTCCCTGTCTACTCTGTTACATTCCTAATAAGCAGGAAGCCTATTTTATTGGCAGGAGAGGTAGTGAGGGTTCTCTCTATCTATTCTTTACTGTGTCTTAGGCCAAGTCAATGAAAGGATTAATGAGCTTATATGTAAAGATTCTTTAAGAGAGCTTCTATACAGTAAAAGAGATTATTAGACATGAGTTAATTGTTAATTTTACGTGATTTCAAAGTTTCCCATAGAAACAATAAACATGACCCACTTTGCCCCCACCCTACTCCAACAACTAATCCTCACGTTTATAATTACTGAAAAACCAGACACTAAGAAAAACAATTATCTTAAAAATGGCAGAATTCTACTTTCAACCCCATTCTAATGGGGTAAGTGGTCCAAAGAAGAAAAGTGACCATTATGTGAATTATCTATGGCTGTGTGCTTGCTGGATTCCTGGAGTATGATGACCTCCCACCCTTTTAAAATAAGTCCCCAAATATTCATTACCTGTGAACTAATGAATGCTCCTCAAAGACATATGAGACATCAATAGGTGCATCCTAAGAAAGAAAAGGACAGCTGTCAGCCTAGACCAATCATACCAACTCTTAATTCCTTCCATCCCTACACTTGTCCACAAGTATACTTTTGAATTTCCAGAATTCATCTTCCTAATGAATTGAGAGTCTGTAGGTGGTAGTTTTTCGTCCATTCAAACCTCTGTTACCCCGAAGATCTTTTTGGCAACAAATACCTTAAGAATCTCCACAAAATTGGAAACAAGCTGAGAGAGGCTTGTGTTCTTCATTAATAGGAGTATGAGTAAGACATTTACCTTCTTTACGTGTTCCAGCTTACTCAACTAACAGTCTCTACCTCCTAGGAGTGGCATGAGAATGAAATAATATAGATGAAAAGGTTTGAAAATAATTTTAAAGCAGCATAAAAATGTAGGTTATAATATCTCAGCAGTCCCCACCCATTCTCACCTCCAAAATTATACTTAGAATTTTGAGCAAGAGCCATTCTCCCAAGACATCTTTGTATGGTCTTATTCATCTCCACCAATCTTACTTCCTAATCTCTGACCTTGACAGTTAGCAAGACAGCTGATAGAGGGACACATGACCAGGAGAAGTGAGATTTCCACATACTGTACCTCTTTAGATTACTCCAGGTTCCAAACACTCTGAATAGATACATTTGTACTAAGATAGGATGAGTATAGGACATAGTTGGCTCACTGACCGTGTAGTCATATATAAGGCCTTAAAGTCAGGCCAAGTTGCACATAACTTTTGTGAAAGGGTAGGAAGGCAAAGGAGAAATAAAATTTTTTTGTCTGTTGTGTTCCCAGCATTATGCTTTGTACCAGCCCTGCTCCTCTGAGGACCCTCCTCCTGGATTCATGGATGCTATATTGGCTCCTTTCATACCAGGTATCAAATCAACATATTTCTTACTCATGGTCTGCCTAGTGGCTTCAAGCAGTCATTCCCTCAAATATTTACTGAGTGGCTACTATTTGCCAGGCCTTGTTTTACAACAAGACAAAAATCCCTGCCTTTGTGGAGCTTGTATTCTGGTGGAAGGAGCAGACTATAACAAAATAATTAATTATATAGAATCTTAGAAGGTGATAAAGTGTTATGGAAAAAAAGCATAGGACAGAAAGTGTGGGAGAGGAGGGGAGGAAGTGGGCAATCCACATGCCCAGGGGAGGTGTTCTAGTCAAAAGGAATATCAAGTACAAAGGCCCTGAAGCAGGACTATACCTAGTTTATTTGAAGAGTAGCAAGGAGATCAGAGTGGCTGGAGCAGAGTAAGTGAGGGAGAAGGAGTAGTGGGAAAGCAAAAATGACAAGGGATTAGGTCACACAAGGCCTTGGAGGTGCTCGGCCAGGCACGGTGGCTCATGCCTGTAATCCTAGCACTCTGGGAGGCCAAGGCAGAAGGATTGCTTGAGCTCAGGAGTTCAAGACCAATCTGAGCAAGAATGAGACCATGTCTCTACTAAAAATAGAAAAAAAATTAGCCAGGCATGGTGGCTCGTGCCTGTAGTCCCAGTTACTTGGGAGGCTGAGGCAGGAGGATGGCTTGAGCCCAGGAGTTGGAGGTTGCAGTGAGCTATGATGATGCCAGTACACTCTGGCCAGGGCAACAGAGCAAGACTGTCTCAAAAAAAAAGAAAAAAGAAAGTAGTCTCTGGGCCTGCAGCCTCAGTATTGCCTGGGAGCTTGTTAGTAATGCAAAATCTCAGGCCCTACACCAGACCTGCTAAAGCAGAATATTCATTTTAACAAGATCCCCAAGTGAGTTTGTATGCATTTTAAAGTTCAAGAAGCACTTTTGGAAAGTTTTAAACAGACGAGTAACATTCGTATTACAAAGCTCGCTCTGGCTGGCTGCTATGTTGAAAAGAGACATGATGAGAGCAAGAGTGGAAGCAGGGAGACTGATAAGGAGGCTATTGACATAACCTTGGTAAGAAAGCATGGTGTCTTGGACCAGGGTGGTAGGAGCACAGTAATAAGAAATGATTGGGGCCGGGCGCGGTGGCTCACGCCTGTAATCCTAGCTCTCTGGGAGGCCGAGGCGGGCGGATTGCTCGAGGTCGGGAGTTCGAAACCAGCCTGAGCAACAGCGAGACCCCGTCTCTACTATAAATAGAAAGAAACTAATTGGCCAACTAATATATATAGAAAAAATTAGCCGGGCATGGTGGCTCATGCCTGTAATCCTGGCACTCTGAGAGGCCGAGGCAGGCGGAACCTTTGAGCTCAGGAGTTGGAGATCAGCCTGAGCAAAAGCAAGACCCTGTCTCTACTAGAAATAGAAAGAAATTAGCTAAAAAAATAAAAATAGAAAAAAAATAGCCAAGCATGGTGGTATGCGCCTGTAGTCCCAGCTACTCAGGAGGCTGAGGCAGAAGGATTGCTTGAGCCCAGGAGTTTCAGGTTGCTGTGAGCTAGGCTGACGCCATGGCACTCACTCTAGCCTGGGCAACACAGTGAAACTCTCTCAAAACAACAACAACAACAACAACAACAAAGAGTATGTTATTCTAAAAGCCAAATAGAAAGTTTCACAGAGGAGGGAGTGATCAGTTATGGCAGGTGCTGCACATGGGCCAAGTAAGATGAGGACAGAAATAATGACTTAAGTTTTACAAAGAGGGGGTCATTGATTGACCTTGAAAAGAAAAGTCTTTACTTTCACTGAAGCCTCACTGAAGGGAACAGGACAGAAAACAAAGAGCTTACCGGAGGTTTGTTTTTGTTGATCTTGATGGTGAAGTAGGCAGCAGCCGTGACTTTCGCAATGGGTCTTGGAGCAGTTGGGACACTCCAACGTACACAGTAGATGTAGTGGAAGCTGTGAATTACGTCTTTCCTCTCTATAAATTCTGTGTAGTGCGCCCAGCGTCTTTGATACTCCCATGTCTGTTTCATAGAAAAAAAGGAAAAGCACACACAAAAAAGAAAAGAAGTCTTCTGTTCATGTCCTGTAGATAAATGCAGTGTATGAGAGTCAGTTAGAGGCTGGGCATGGGCTCACACCTGTAATCCTATCACTCTGGGAGGCTGAGTTGGGAGGGTCACTTGAGCTCAGGAGTTCGAGACCAGCCTGAGCAAGAGCAAGACCCCATCTCTACTAAACATAGGAAAATTAGTCAGGTATGGTGGCGCATGCCTGTAGTCCCAGCTACTTAGGAGGCTGAGGCAGGAGAATCACTTGAGCCCAGGAGTTTGAGGTTGCTGTGAGCTAGGCTGACACCACAGCACTTTAGCCCAGGTGACAGAGTGAGACTACGTCTCAAAAAACAAACAAAAATGTGTCAGTTACAGCTCTGTTCTGTAGTCCACTCCTAAGACTTTTCACTGGGATTCAAACTTGAGTCAACTCCCAAATATCTCCATGGGCAGAGGAGAGAAAAGATGGAGCTGAAATGAAACAAGTGAAGAACACAAACATCATTTAAGATTGAACTTTGGACTGCAGGGGCACACCCTCAGACGTGAGACTGGACAAGATAACCAAGGAAGTGAGTATACAGAAGAGGTACATACACACCACCCACATACACACAGACCTTGCTCCAGACCCCTTACTTGGGAGGCAAATTTGTTATTGGAAAATAATTAGAAAGTGATTAGAACACATGCTCTGCTCATCCCAGGAGACTTAAAGGTGTGACTAGAAAGTAATGAGGCTGGTTTCAGCCATTTGTGAATATCAAAATTCACTTGATTGCAGCCATAGGTGGTATATAAAATAAGGTCAGAAGAGGAATACTCCTACACTGCTGGTGGGACTGCAAACTAGTGCAACCTCTGTGGAAAGCGATATGGAGATACCTCAAAGAGATACAAGTAGATCTACCATTTGATCCAGCAATCCCACTACTGGACATCTACCCAAAAGAACAAAAGAGATTCTATAAAAAAAGACACCTGCACTCAAATGTTTATAGCAGCACAATTCACAATTGCAAAGTTGTGGAAACAACCCAAGTGCCCATCAATACATGAGTGGACTAATAAAATGTGGTATATGTATATCATGGAGTACTATTCACCTATAAGAAACAATGCTGATCTAGCACCTCTTGTATTATCCTGGATAGAGCTGGAACCCATTCTACTAGGTGAAATATCCCAAGAATAGAAAAATGAGCACCACATGTACTCACCAGCAAATTGGTATTAAGTGATCAACACCTAAGTGGACATATAAGAATAATGTTTATCGGGCATCGGGCAGATGGGAGGGGGAGGTGGGGATGGGTATATACATACATAATGAGTGAGACGTGCACCATCTGGGGGATGGTCTCGCTTAAAGGTCTGACTGGGGGGAGGGCAGGGCAATATATGTAACCTTAACATTTGTACCCCCATAATATGCTCAAATAAAAAAGAAAAGAAAAAAAAGAGGAATGAGTCAGACAATAGGATGACCCACATCCCTTTGAAAGGAATGATTTCCTGTTTGGAGAAGCTTCTTCCTGTCAAAACACAAATCTTACTAGGGAAAAGAGTCAAGAAACAGAAAACTTCCCTTGGAATGTCTCCTTTGTCTGGCCCTATTCTTGGAGTTGAGATGGGAATACAGTCAGCTCTGCATCTGCAGGCTCCACACCCGTGGGCTCCCCACGCACTACAGAAGGCTGACCTTTTCCATTCATGGTTGCTTGAATTCATGGATGAAGGGCCAACTTAAGGGACTTGAGCACTGCAGAGTTCAGTATCCTCGGGGTCCTCAAACCAATCCCATGTACATATGAGAACCAACTGTACACAACTAAGGTTAACTATATTATTGAAAGTATCAGCATTCATTCAGTCCTTCATCCCTTCCTTCTTTGATTGATTTGTCTATTTTTGATTAACTTTCAGTCATATCTGTTCTACCCCAAATATGTCTCACATCGCTCCATTCTTCTCCATTCCCACTGACACTTCTCTACTTCAGTTCCCATTGTTTCTCACCTGGACTTAGGAAGAAACTTCCTATCTAGACACCATTGTTTTTAACCTCACTTCTCCAGACCACCACATACACTGAAGCCAGAGTTGTTTTCCTTAAGCACAGCTTGAATTATATCTGCTCAGTTCAGAAACCTTCCACAGCTCCCCTTTGCCAAACAAACTGAAAATATTTCACTGTGTTATTTAAGACTGCCCACAGTCTGGATCTAATAATATGACTTTCAACCCTCATGTCACACTTTTCCCAACAAAAAGTGCATGTTCCCATTAAACTCGAACTTGTCACTATTCCCAATATTTGCTTTTGGTTAGGGTGTTGTCATTTCTCTGGAAGCCTCTCCCTCTCACCTCTACTTGATAAAGTCCTTTTTCCCAAAACTGCCACCTCCACGAAGTCTTCTGATCCTTCTTCCAACCAGATGTTATTTTGCACCCATCTTTGAACACTTGTGGAGCTTGTTTTCTGTGTCTCTTATGGCACTTTGATCCCCCAACACATACCTGTACTACCTGCATGAAGAACAATCTGCCTCGTAGTCTCCATATTAAAACATTGCTAGCAGGGCTGACTTATCCATAGGCATAGTAAACACAGCATCTAGGGCCCACAATACGTTGAAAGGCCCACAAAAAATGTTTTCATTTCTTTTAAAGTTAGAAGGAAAAAATGAACTTTTTTTTTTTTTTTTTTTTTTTGAGACAGAGTCTCACTTTGTTGCCCAGGCTAGATGAGTTGCCATGCATTAGCCTAGCTCCAGCAACCTCCAAACTCTGCTCAAGCAACTCATCCTGCGCCATCGCCATCCTGATAGCTGGGACTTACAGGGCATGCGCCACCGCCGATGACTGGCTAATTTTTTCTTACTATTATATTAGTAGACAATTAATCGTATTATAGTAGAGAGGGGGTCTTGCTTCCTTGCTCAGGCGGTTTTCTAAGTCCCTGACCTTCGAACAAGATTCCGCGCTCGCCTGCCCAGAAGATGCTAGGGATTACAGGCCTGACACCACGCTCCGGTCCAACAAAACAAATGGAACCTCTTTAGGACCAATTATTAATACCATTCTTTTTGCCAAACTGTCGTTAAGCAAAATTGATTGTCATCATTTAAGAGGCAGGGACCAAAACACGGGAAGAGTAGCTAGGCTACCCAGAAATCATAATGCAGCCCTGGGCCCAGGGCCTTGAATATAATAGGTATTCAACAAATTCAACTGACCCTCTTGGGCTTGCTATGGGGGCACAGGAAGCTTCTGGATCAAAGGAGACCCTGAATGTTATTTTATTTTTTATTTTATATTTATTTATATTTATTTTATTTTATTTATTTATTTATGAGACAGAGTCTCGCTTGTTGCCCAGGCTAGAGTGAGTGCATGGTGTCAGCCTAGCTCACAGCAACCTCAGACTCCTGGGCTCAAGCAATCCTCCTGCCTCAGCCTTCTGAGTAGCTGGGACTACAGGCACGCGCCACCATGCCGTGCGCAATTTTTTCTATATATATTAGTTGGCCAACTAATCTCTTCTATTTATAGTAGAGACGGGGTCTCGCTCTCGCTCAGGCTGGTTTCAAACTCCGTACCTTGAGCAATCTGCCCACCTCGGTCTCCCAGAGTGCTAGGATTATAGGCATGAGCCACCGCTCCCGGCCGATTTTTTACCTTTTATGAACTAAGGCAGCCTTAGACATGACATTAAATCTGGCTTTTTCCATTAGGCCAGTCTCCTGCCACTTTTTTTTTTTTTTGAGACAGAGTCTCACTTTGTTGCCCAGGCTAGAGTGAGTGCTGTGGCATCAGCCTAGCTCACAGCAAGCTCAAACTCCTGGGCTCAAGCAATCCTTCCTGCCTGCCTCTAGTAGCTGGGACTACAGGCATGCACCACTATGCCTAGCTCATTTTTTCTATATATATTAGTTGGCCAATTAATTTTCTTTCTATTTATAGTAGAGATGGGGTCTTGCTCTTACTCAGGCTTGTTTCGAACTCCTGACGTCGAGCAATCCGCCCGCCTCCGCCTCCCAAGTGCTAGGATTACAGGCGTGAGCCACCGCGCCCGGCCTCTTGCCACTTTTATCAACATGCAGGCAACAGACTTTTATGTAGCTCTAGTGAGTGTGTATTATCCTTGTGTTTTGTGACTATTAAATAGTACTGCTTCATAAACTCACTTCTGGGAAACAGTATCTCATTGTGCTACTCTACCATGGACGGCTTAGCCACTCACATATTATTGGTCACTCAAAACTAATAGGTGGGCTGGGCGTGGTGGCTCATGCCTATAATCCTAGCACTCTGGGAGGCTGAGGGGGGAGGATCGCTCAAGATCAGGGTTCAAGACCAGCTTGAGCAAGAGTGAGACCCTGTCTCTACTAAAAATAGAAACAAATTAGCTGGACAACTAAAAATATATAGAAAAAATTAGCCGGGTATGGTGGCGACGGTCAATATGTTTCTGATTTTAATCGTTTTTTGTTTTTAAACTTGTTTTCTAAAGTGGGTTTAATTACTATTTCTTTTTGAGTACAGAATCACGTGCTTTATTAGTTGTCCTTAGTTAACAGGTCTAAGAGTGAGTCGATGTGCGTATCAAAGCATGCGTAGCTACAACAGAAACTTCTCGATATCATCCTCCTACTTGGTCAAGCAGTTACCTCTTTTAATCTAAGCTCCAGTCTCTTATAGAACCCCGTTTAATGATGTGTTCTGATGGAAACAACAGACCAATTTATCAAAGACGCGCCCGAGCCAATATCACCTCTCATGTGTAGACCTTTTATCCTATATATAGGTGTTTATTTTGGCCACTTTAAAATTTCTTTCTTATTTATTTATTGAGTAGCAGGAGAGATGGTGCGAGTCTATCATAGCTTTCTTTGACAATCAAGAGACTAGGTTGAGTTTTGGAGATCAGCTGAGCTCCTGGAGGACAAGAACACGAATGCCCATTT